ACAGTGCACTTTTACTTTCGCCCTCTGGGGGGAGCCTCGCTGGAAAATCAACACCGGTTGCATAGTGTACCTTTAAATCAACCTTTAAAAAAAGACACAAAATGTTCAAATTCTTTGGCTGAAGGAGAAGAAACGCCAACAATAAGGCTGAGCTTAACTATAATGCAGACCTAAGTTTTATTTTTCCTTTTCGCATAGCTTTTAATCCCTTGTTAATTGTAGCTTTTTTTGCTATAGGTTAGCCTATCTAACCTCTTCCTCTTAGTTACTGTTCCAGTTGAAGATGGCTGATGCAACCACAGAGTGAAGAGGACCCCAATGAGCACAGTGATCTCCATCACTTAGACATGGAAGTTTGTAATAACCAGGACTCTCATAGATAGCCAGGGGGAAAAGGCCTCAGCCATCAGGGTGACCTACGTATTTCTTTGTTGAAAAAGAATTTTACAGAATATTTATCAGACCACAAGAAACTCAAATACCTGGACTACTAAGACAAAGATTGAACTATTTGATGGGAAACCAAGGCAACATGTTTTGAGGAAACCAGGCACAGCTCATCACCAGGGCAATTTACTCCCTACAGTGAAGCATGGTGGTGCTAGTATCATGCAATGGGCATGTTTTCCAGCTGCAGTGGAAGACATGAATGTAGTGATAAAACAAAGACATGCTGGGTTGAATTCAATTCACTTTATATAGCACCATTTCACAATACATCATCTCAAGGCACTTTACAGTTCACCATTCAAAGTTCTCTTTCCAAGGAAAACCAGCGGCCATGATTTTTGCCTGCGAGTGGTCTAGCCTCGATCAATGCCCAGGCCCTAGAACTGGCAGGCCAATCACAATGCAGAGATGTGTTTTGAATTTCTGGATTTTTTTCTGGATTTCTGGCGGCGTTTTGAGGACAGGACGACAAAGCTGCGCGACTCTGGAGAAAGTACAACAAGGAAGATGGCAGCAACTATTGAACAGTAGCATGCACTGCGGCAGCAGCAGCTTTCAATGGAGTGCTCCATTGAAAGTTGAAAGTTCTCTTTTCTGTTGCTGTTGTTCAATAAAAGTACGTTTAAAGGTAATTTGAGGCGAGAATATCATACTTTAAAGCGTCACTATATGGCCCATTTACCAATTTAATGCATAATTAAAAAAACTATTTCCAAAGTTGAGAGGACCACGGCAACCGGCAGAGCTCCGAGCCTAACGGCAGGCAGGGCTAACCATCTGCAGCCCATCTGCAGCGGCCCTCTCTTGGCATAGTAGTGTGTGAAGGACCGCTGGCTCTGATGGTGATTTTTGACTCAGCTCTGGAATCAGTTTTAGAAGGATTAGACTTGGGGTTTTTGTTGAAACGTGAGCAGGAGGAGGCTCTACGCTCATTAATTTTTAATAAGGACGTATTCGCCGTTTTACCGACAGGCTGTCTGTTTACACTCCCCCACCAGCTTTCTGTCGCGCTTACTACATCACAGTCAGTTGCGCTCATTGGTCAGAGTGTTGGCCAATAGGTACAGACATGGTTTGAAAAACAGTGGGTTGTTTTCATCAACAATCGTCTGATGTCTCATTCGTCGGGGCCAGAGTAAATTACACATTTAATCTCCCATTTAGTCTAGTTTATCAGGCTACCTGTTGATTTCATCGACTCATTGGCTCGAAGGCAATCCTTCACACTGAGCATGCTTGTAGCGACAGTGGAGAGAAAAAACTCCCTTTTAACAAGAAGAAGCCTCCAGCAGAACCAGGCTCAGTGTTAGCAGCCATCTGCTGAAGCCAACTGGGGTTCAAGGAGACAGAAATAGAGATACAAAAGGCAACTGTAAAAGGCGGCCCCGTCCAGGAAACACACAGCCAGGCAGACGGGCTCCAAGCCAGCTCCCATGTCAGAGGAGGAAGAGAGCACATCCAGCCAGTCACAGTCAGAGAAACAGGACTACACTGAAAAAGACCTCCAACATCTATAAACAAAGGTTTTTATGGCAGCAGCACAGCTGATATTTCTCTCCAGGATGGAGTCACAGCCAAACAGGAACAGACCAGATTAAGCTACTATGAGAAAAAGCAGAGAGCATAACGTTAGAGATTGAACTTATAGATTCTGCAGAGTGGGAAAATAGATATAGAATGAAGCAGAATGATGAAAAAAGGGCCTTATGTCCTCCAGAAGTATAAGTCTATAGCAACATAACTATAGAGATGCTCAGGATAACCTGAGCCCCTTTTATCTAAAAGGAAGGTCTTACACCCTTAAAGTAGACAGGGTGTCTGCCTCAAGGACTAAAACTGGCAGTTAGTTCCACAGGAGAGGAGCCTGATAACTAAAAGATCTGCCTCCCATTCTACTTTTAGAAATTCTAGGAAACACTAGTAAACCTGCAGATTGAGTTCAAAGTGCTTTGTTAGAAACATAAGGAACAATCATATCTCTGATATCAGATGGAGTTTGGCCATTTAAGGCTTTATATGTGAGAAGGAAGATTTTAAATTCTATTCTGGATTTAACTGGAAGCCAGTGAGGAGAAGATAGGATAAGAGAGATATGATCTCTCTTTTTAATTTTCATCAGAACTCTGGCTGCAGCATTTCGAATCAGCTGAAGGCTTTTAACTACAGTTTGTGGACTTCCTGATAGTAAAGAATTACAATAGTCCAGCCTTGAAGTAACAAATAAATTGACTGGTTTCTCAGTATCACCCCTGGACAGGTTATTTCTAATTTTTCCAATATTGCGCAGATGACAGAAGAAAATTCTAGAAACCTCTTTATATAAATTGCTGCTCTCGGTCTGTGAATGGGCCAACACCCTACTGCTTACAACCAATGTCTCTAAAGGAGTGGATCAGAACCACCCTGTGAATGTCCTGCAGGCCAGGCTGAGAATCCAAAGGGACCTTCTGTGCACAGAAGTCTCCAGGAGACGTTCTACAAAGAAGATAACTGCTAAGCTTGTGGCCTTTTGTAGAGATTTAAGGCTGGAATAACTGCTGAAACACGATGTTTTCTATTTGTAATATATTTGTAAAACGAGAAGCTTTCCCATGTTTTCATACCACAGTATCATGAGTAGAATTTAGGGTAAAGAGATTAATTTATTAACATTGAACAACATCACTGATTGTGATGTGACCTCCAGAATGACAACTTGCCTTTGATGATTTTTGCTCAGATTGTACCCTGCTGCCAGAGGAGTAAGCTCTGCGCTGGTGACGGATTGCAGGTTCATCATCAGGAAACATTTTCACTGCAGCTGGTGTTCTTTCCTTTATCCACTTAGCCTAGTTTAATGATAGTTTGAAGCAGATAACTCTTCATGTTATTGGTAGAAAATAAATCTGATTCACAGCAGTGTAGACTGACCCTGAACTGGTTTTGGTGCCTGTTTGCTTTCAGTCACCCCACACAAAAACTGGCTACACCATTTTTTACAAAAAGTCTGGAGAGCAACTGATCTGGACAATTAAAAAAAAAAACAGGAAAGTCATCCAACTGGGTAGGAAGATATGGAGGAATATTCTTTGTACTATGCATGAAAATAACAGGCGTAACTCAATGAGAGGGCACTGATGAGATCAGTTTCTCCTCCACAGACTGAAAGCCTTTGAGGAGAGCGGGCCGTACAAGGCGGTTTGGGGCAGAGCCTCCAATCAGGACGGGGTTGTATCCGATCAGCCTCCGACGTCTCGGGTTGTTGATCAGCGAGAGCAAATGGTGATGAGTGGAGGATACATACGCAGGTACACAGAGAAGCTAATGAGGCAGCTGCCTGGTGTGTGTTTGCTTTTATCACAGCAGCCTGGCAGGTAATCCAAGCTGTCCTCAAGCCTACAAGCAGCTGCTCAAACATAGGACGGCATCACAAACATGCACACAAAACGTGTCTACCTCCTCCTTTGTTTCAGGGTGACTAATGATGCTCGTGAGGATGAGATGGAGCAGAACCTGGCTCATGTGGGGAGCATCATGGGGAATCTAAAAAGCATGGCTTTGGACATCAGCAATGAGCTGGAATCGCAGGGTGGCCTGATTTCTCGCATTAACGAAAAGGTATGGAACTCTGGCTACTACTGATGATGGTGCAGAACCTTGTCAGTGGTGTCAAAAGTACACACTTTTGTTACTTAAGTAGAAGTATAGATACTGCAGTTTTAAACACTCTGGTCACGTTGAAGTATCAACCTCTTTACTCATGCAAAAGAGAAAAAGTATGTGCTCCAAAAGCTACTTAAACTATAAAAGTATAAAGTAACCTTTAAAAAAAAAAAAGAGCCAGATCCCACTATCTGAACTGAAAGCTCAACTTTTCGACTATTTCCAAAATAATTATTTCAGATATGGCTAAGTTGGTCTCTTGCTGGTCTCTGTCTCCATTTCCTGATACGCTCACGCTTGTTTCCAACCATGCAGACATTTCGACATCTTTTTCTGAATCCGAAAATGTAGCATGGCTTAGACAATGCAGTTTGAAGAACAGCTGCTTGCTTCTGATGATTTCCTTTAGCGTCCGCACAAAATTGATGAATAATTAAACAATGAATGTTTGCGTTATATGACTCATCCAATTACAATAGTTTCACTAGATGTGGATGGCGCCAATGATATGCACTGGATGGGCACATAACATGAAATAAAAATTTATAAACATTAAACCAAAGAGTAATGAGTAATGTTTGTTTTAAAAATGTAAGGAAAGAAAGTACAGATACTTGTGTGAAAATGTAATGAGTAGAAGTCAGGAGTAGGAAGAAAAATAAGTAATGAAGTAAAGTATAGATACCTAAAAAGTGTACTTAAGTACAGTAACGAAATATTTGTACTTCGTTACTTGATACCTCTGAACTTTGTTAAAACACACCAACAAAAAGAAAATTTGCTGAACAAACCATGAAAAATGGCATCTCAAAGGATTACCTCCACTCAGAGAACTTCCATCAGCTGTAGCAGCAGAAAAAAGGCTACATCTAGATCCCTTCTAAATGTATTCACACCCCCTTAACCTATCCATTCCTCATTTTGTCACATTACAGCAGCAAACCTCACTGTGTTTCACTGCGACATTTTCCTATAGACAAACAAAACAGGGTGCATAATGATGATGTCCAAGACAACTAAGTGTGTTTTTTAAGCAATTGAAAAGTTGCATAAACTAAAAAAATATTGTTTCACAAGAAACTGCTTTTTAGAGTTACCATAATAATGGATCAGCTGTGTAATTCAATATGAGTAACTGCAAATGTTTCTGACCTCAGAGGTTCTTTAGAGAAAAAGACCAAGGAACCTCAAAGACAGAGGAAGTTCTAGAGGTTTTAAAGCAGGGCAAGGTTCTGAAACAGTATCCCACACTTTAAGCATCTCCCAAAATCACCTGCATATGGAATCGCTGCTAAATATGGCTCCACAGAGCACTGAACCAAGGGCATAACAAAGATGCATAGAAAATTTTTATATTTTCATTCATATAAGTGTAAAAAACAAAAAAAAACAAAAAAACATTTGCTTTCTTCCTCCCTGGTAATTATGGTTAACTTAATTTTGTGAAGCTGTGCCATCAGCTGATGCAATGAAGCAAACTGAATCCTGATTTATTTCTCTCTCCTCTCTGTGCAGGCCAACGTTAATGTTTCCCGCATTGAAGCCGCCAACCAGAAGGCAAACAACCTGATGAAGCGATAGGAGCACAGGACTGAATAAGTGAGGGACTGCCTTTGATTCAATGAGTCGATGCAATCAACTGATTTTCCTTAGATGGAAACTTTGACTCAATTTGACTGTATCATCCCGTGAACTGTAAAGTGCCTTGAGATGACATCTGTTGTGAATTGGCACTATTAAATAAAAATGAATTGAATTGAATAAGCTGAGCAACTTAGTCTGTTTTTTCAGTGGAGAACTTCAGCTGCACTTCTTTATGTTTTTGTTCATTTCTAATTCTTTATTGGGACTGTTTTTTAGTTGGTGGCCTGTTGGATAACTCTTGTTGACTATTCCTTTGGAGTGCTTTAATTTTATTGTGGGGTTTTAATTGTAATTGTATCAAATTTGCTCCAATAAGGTATCCCCAGGTCACTTGAACAGGTCACAGTAATGATCCCTGCAAGGAAAGTGAGCCCCTGCAGCAGCTCTATCACCACTACTATCACCTGACAGCTCAACCAGATGATAGAGATGGACAAATGCAGAACGATTAACACGAGGCATCATGCTTCGTGGAATGTTGAGTGCACATTTTCCCTTTTATTAGAATACATCTTGATGTTCTCAACCACAGGTTCAGTCCCCATTTTCTCCAACATTGGTCAGCTCCCCTCCACAGCAGCTCGTTTTACTGTATCACATGTTCCCAAGTGGTTGAAAACACGTGTATTACGGCGCCCTCTTCAGATTTAGTTGGGTATTGCGTGCAGAAGGTAAGTACGCATTTCTCATGAAAGAAAGAACTCTGAGGACACCAAGCGGACAAACATGGAACTGCATCTTCCAGGCCACCCATCTTCTTTCTGTCATCCAGCTTTTGAAATGGGAGCTGAAAGGTATGGATGACTCCAAGCCATTTAAACAGCAGCCAAATCATTAAGAATTCTACTGATTAAAAGGCAAAAAAATATATATATGTCATTACAATGAAAAACCAGATGTTTGATTTTTAGAGGATACTCTAGAAAAATTGACAAGATCCCATTAAAATTTTTTTCTCAGGATTTTTTGATTAGTTGCATTTATAAAGTTTGGGGTAAATAAAATGCTAAATATTTTAGTTAGTTTTAGAAACAAAAATCCCTTTCGTCGTAAAAACATTTCTTAGTCACTATATCGGTGGAAAACAAATTTTTATGCATTCGACATAATTCAAACATTAACGGCGAAAAAGAAATTCAACCTTATAACGCTAACGACATCTTCTGATAGGAGTATGTTTTCAGAAAAATTGTGTCTGCGAAAGCATTCCTTTTAAGGTTTTATTTGGTTTTCCCCTGTAGTTATCGCATGACATTTACAGAAGAGCTATACTCAAGACTTATTGAAAAGAAAGCTAATTTTGATGTTCTGTTTCTAAAATAAAATCAATACTTGTGAAAGATCAAATTAAAAAAATGAATCATTGAGTGGTTTGTCTGTTTTGGATGGAAATGTAGTGGTTGGTGTTAACAGTTTCCATGCCAGCAGGGGGCGTGCAGCTGGGTCAAAATGTTGCGCGTCCAAAACAAGAGGGAGGGGGGGGAGGAAATAGGTCCGCTGACAGCGGAGTCTGCGCATTTCGCGTCACTCCGAACTTTCGGGAGAACCGCACAGGAAGAAGGTGGAGGTCTGCGCCATTTTTACTTTTCTGGTAATTATTTCCCACTCTCTGTTGTTTACAATACTGACCAAACTAGTGTTCGTTTGAAATAAACGAACATGTTTAAGCTACACAAAAGAGAAGAATGCGAGAGCCGCTCCATAAAAAAACGGTGACGCTGTCCTCCATGTTTGCCGCCGCGAGCCGCGATGAAACCTCCGAATAACGCAGAAAACCTAACATCGGTTTTACCGAAACATTCTAGATTAGCAAGTTGGTCAATACCGAAAGGTTCACGATTTTTTCAAGCCTTAAAAAAAGCGGCGCGGCCATGTAAACCGTAGTGGTGTCTGAAGACCTCTCCCCGACTGAACCATCAGGAGGAGGACAGGCTCAACAAAGACACAGCAGCGCTGCTGCTGATTGGCTCACGCTGAACACGTGACCCAAAGCAACGTTCACTTTAAATCAGATGAATTAGCTCGTTAACAAATGCGCAAACTGTTAACAGCAGCCATATAACGGGCTTTACGACATTTAGACTTGGATTATTCTAAGTTAGGAAATAAACTCTTTTATATACAAGATATAGTCAAAAATATAATATTCACTTAAACCAGCACATTTCTACATTAACTAGATTAACTGAGATTTTTACCATCAGTTTATTTTTATGGTAAACATTCTTTTATTTAGGTTTTGCCCTTTGATTTTAGTAAATATGCTTAAAGGTCAGATTTATAACTGCAGAAAATTATGATTTATAAAAGGAGTGTTTTTAATACAGCCTTGAGAGACACATGCAAAAATACAAGAATGGGTGGTCAACAAATTATTACATTAAGAGAAAATAAAAACACGGTTAGTTTGAGGATAAGGCGTGTAATTTTAAAACATCTCAAAACACTGAAAAAATCTTTTAAAATATTCAATTATTGTAAAGATGAAGACAATTTGCTTCTGAAAGTACAATGTATAGGCATTTTAAAAATTCATGTTAAAATCAAACATAAAATTGTATAATGTACTTAGATTGCTCTCAGAACACATAACTTTATGACTTTGTGAACCAGTAAATAGCATTTAAGGCAGCTGTACTATTGGAACCAATAAGGGAGAGTTGGCCTATTGGTCAGACCAGTGCGCTTGTGCTCTGAGAAGGTACAAGTACCCAGGTTCCATCCCCACAGTCTCTACTCTGGGTTCCTGAGCAAGACCCTTAAACCCTGATTGCTCCCCAGGCGCCACACAGTGGCAGCCCACTGCTCCCCAAGAGGATGGGTCAAATACAGAGAACAAATATCCCAATCATGGGACAATAAATGGATTTACATTACATTACCAGCCACAACACACAATGAATCCTGCTGTAATCCTCTGTCTGGGCCAAATTAAAAGTTAAACCCTATCATAAGAAATTAATCTTAGGCTCTCTGACCCATATTGAAATCCTCTGGATAGAAACAGGCTATAAATACACCACTGCTAAGATATATTTCTTTAAATTGGCATCGGCCTGGACATATGAAATAATTGAAATAATGAAGTCCCTTAACACAAAGATAGCATAGAAAACATATGAAGCTTAAAGGCTAAACGACTCCAGGCCCTGATTGGTTAACGTCAGGCGAATTAACAGAGAAGTCCAGATTCTCAGCTTCCAGGAGATGTCGGTATGTTCTCTCTGTGTTTTCAGTGGAACTTCTCTGTGATTGTGTGCTTGGAAGATATTTGCTTGAAACTCATCTTTCCCATTAGCGAGCGTTACTATGCAGGGATAATATGGAAATCACTCGCTTCATTTTGGTTTGATATGAACGCACAGAAACCACTACCACTGATGACCACGGGATGCCCATCCTGCCGCTCATCGGCTTAATCTGTTTTGTTGCTTGTACTCTGTCTCATGTATAATAACAGCAGCGTCTCCTTTATTATCTTCAGGTCTGTCTTTTTTTTTTTTTTTTTTTTTTTTTTGGTTGATACCAGCTGATGATCCCTAGTTCAGCTCTACAGCGCACTCATGTGATGGTTTCCACTAAATATCAGAAAGTTTTTGGCTCACAGAGCTGAGTGTTGCATATTTTTTTTTTTTTTTTTTTTTTAAACATCTCCCATGGCTATCATCATGGCTATCTTTAACACTGTTGTACTGCCCCCCCAGTGTTTTTTTTTTTATAGCCATCTTAGATTTAGTCTTAGTCTTCAGGATGAAAACTATTAATAGTTTTAGCTGCATTTAAGTCATTACAATATGTGATCGTTTTAGTCGGCTCAAGTTTTCTTTGTCAAAGATCCATGTTTAACTAATCAGTTCTCGTTATCATGAAAAAAAGGGGCGTCAACGAAATAATTTCATCATTGTTGATGAAAAAACGCTGCTGCCCCCTAGTGTTGAACGTAGGCTTATCTTTGTTCTTCAATAATAGATCAGCAACTGTAAACCAGTAGTTCTGGGTGTGTTACTTAAAAAAGGAACTAGTTATACTTACTAGTACTTCTCCCAAAAAGTTACTAGGGATAATAACTATGTAACTATTTTGTATCATTAATTAAAACAACTTGAAGTTTAATGTCCAAATATGATTTTTTTTTTCATATTAAGGGATGATTGGAGGAGCTTAATTAGATCAAATCTGCCCCCTAACCCTTAAATATTGAGTTTCTCTCCCAATGAAGTCACACTCGCAGCTTGATAGAAGGTAGAGGGTGTAAAGGAGAAGGCGACACCCTCTACCCTCCCCAAAATAAAGCAGTTGTTGCTATGGCAACAGTGCATGGCAGTAGCTCTGTGATGCAGGTTGACATGGCATCAAACATTTGCCCCTTTTTTAAGCACATTTATACGGTCAACTACTAATGCTGTTTCATAGAGGACCTTCCCTTTAGCGATTGATGACTTTTACATTTTTTCCTAACCTGGGATTTTTTGTTATTGAGACAAAGAGGCAGCAAACCAGCAGAACTTACATTTGAATAGAGGTGAGTATTGGCATGAGTTTTGCGATT